TTCACTAAAAAATACAAATGAATAAGTGTACGTACATGTTTTCATCGCCCAGATTAAGAAGGTAAATATTATTTTATCTTGGAATTTCTGATGTGCCTCTAAGCAAGTTGGTCTTAGTCAGTGTCTAAAACTTAGCTATAAACACACACACTTTTACTCCTTGAAGAACAAGAACACCATCATGGCCACACTAATGTTAGAAAATCAGAGCAGGGAAAACCACAGAAAAGGAAACCATAGAAAAGCAGGATGGAATTCTGCAGATAAAGTCTGGTCAAATTTCTGGCAGCTCCAGGAAGTAGGATAGCGTGCAGCAGACTCCAGGCACCGAAAAGAAGGAAAGACACATTTCATCTGCTGATGACAACAGGAAAGCAGTTTGAAGTTTGGGTTACATCAAGTCAGCCTTCTAAAACACAAGGGTAAATAAACATCCCTGTAAACTTAATTCTGGGAGAATAGGAGGAAACTTACATTTGAAGAATTAATGGACAAAATTTTCCTCAATTTGGTAAAAAGCATCCATTTACAGACTTAAGAACTTCATCAATCTTAAGCAGAAAAAATACAAAGAAAACAACCTGTAGACACATCACAACCAAACTGTTGACAATTAAGCTTAAAAAGAACATCTCCAAAGTAGAGATTTAAAAACAAAACAAATCACCAACACTTTAAAAGTAAATGTCAGCAATGATATGAATACCTGATGACTTTTCATCAAAAACAATAGAATCCAGATGATATTATAATAACATTTCAAAAGCCAAGAATATTTTCAACCTAGATTTTTATATCCAGTAAAATTAAAGCAAAATAAAAATATTATCCAATGACAGAGTGAGAGAGAGAGAGAGAATGCTTTGTCAGTACATCTGTACTACAAGAAATTTTAAGCAAGTCCTCTAGACTGAAGAGAAATTAGTAATAATATACATATTATGAGCTAACTTTACCTAATTGACAATTTCACCTAACAGTATTAACATATTAAGTCTTTCCAAATTCACAGAGTACATTTATCAAGATAGATCATATTTTAGGCATAAACGAGTCCCTAGTGAATCCTCTCCAACCACAATGAAATTAAATAATAAATTCAATAAGAGGCTAGAGAGGAAAATTCTAAATATTTGAAAACTTAACACACACTTCTAAACATCCTATGGTCAAATAGTGACTAATAAGAAAAGGATAAAAAATATCTAAGAGCCTAAAAGCCCTTTGGCCTAGCCATGTATGGGTCTGTTGCAATGGACCCCTCTTAAAAGCAGCTCACATAGTGCACTCAGAAGTAAACAAGCTACCCCTGAGGAGAATTCACTGCCATCATTCATTCTCATTGCTATCCATTCTACATGGGAAGCGAGGACAGTAGGAGAACCCTATCCTAAGAACAGAATGTGGAATAGTAAGTCCAGAGGGACAGTGGTTGAAAACTGTAATTCTGATATACTACGTCCTCTTTTCTTTACAGCACATGTGTCTTAGACAATAACCACAACCAGCTCATTGTCTAATTTGGTGCTGGTGCTTACTTTGCTTACTTTTGACCATTGGATGGGCTAAGAGGATTAGATTGGGTTGTTTTCTGGCCATTTTAATTTTCTAGATGTTTCCTGGAATAATCTGGATCACTTTCCTTATTACTTGTTCACTTTAGCCATAATTGTCATTTCATAAGTGGTCATTGAAAGAAGGGAGAAAGAAATTAAATGTGTTCCTACCTCTATAATTTATAAAGAGAAAACACTCAAAATAAGTCTAATTATCAAACCTCTAAATAACTTCCTCTAAAATTTATGTTTTAGATTAATTGAATAGATCAAGCCTGCAACCTAGGCATGTGCCCTGACCGGGAATAGGGAATCGAACCCTGACCTCCTGGTTCATAGGTCGACACTCAACCACTGAGCCATGCCAGCTGGGCTAGAAGTTTTCTGTCTTGATATTATAATTCATGCCATAATGAACATACTTACATGTACATCTTTCTACATTTTTTCTTTTTTGTTTTCCTAGTGCGTAAGATGTTTGAAATAGAAATTCTGGGCCAAAGGAAATCTTTGATGGTGAAAAACAGGATTTTAAAAATATTTGTTAAATATCCAAATTGCTTTTAATAAAGAATAGAGTACACTTATATTACCAAAGCTATAGCCATTTATTTACTTTTTGCTATATTTACCAATATGTTTTCTTTTTTGTTGGTTTGTAAACTAAGATACAATACTGATTTTCTGTTCGTTTGAATTTATATGATTAATAATGAGATTGATAGTGTTTATATTTTTTGATCAATTGTATTTTTTGACTTTTGAATTGTTCTTTATACAGAAGCTACTTTCTACTCCCTAATGTGTAGACAAACAAACAAACAACAACAAAAAAGAAACAAAAGAAACAATGTTAACATAACTTAAGGCTAACATAAGTGGGTGCCTATTGGCTTAAGATATACTAATATGCTGGACACAGTGAGCCCAGGACATTTGTGAAAGTTAAGTGATGCATAACCCCTCCCTCTTCTTCAACATTTGAAAGTAGAGAGGCCTTGAAAGTTGATTCAGCATGACCCTGCAAGCAATATGTGTGCAAACAGGATGAGGCCCTGGCCGGTTTGGCTCAGTGGATAGAGCGTCGGCCTGCGGACTGAAGGGTCCCAGGTTCGACCCCGGTCAGGGCACATGCCCGAGTTGTGGGCTCAATCCCCAGTGGGGGGCCTGCAGGAGACAGCCTATCAATGGAGACAGCCCAATGATTCTCTCTCATCATTGATGTTTCTATCTCCCTTTCCCTTCCCTTCTTCTCTGAAATCAATAAAAATATATCTTATAAAAAAAAAAAGGATGAGAAAATACCTGAAATAAAATTGCCTTGAGAGGGAGTTTCAGGCTGCTAATTCAGGTTCAGCAGAAGTAACTAATAGGTTTTTCAGGGGGTGGGGATGGGTGGTTTGTGCTTAATATGTACCTAATATAGATCACTTTTCTAGACATAATAACAATGGTCTATTAGGTTGTGCTTTTGAGAATAAAATTAAAGGGGGAAAAAAGGATGGCCTAAAATGAACTGGCTCTTTGTGTATGGGTCACCAATGTGACCTGCACAGAAATAGTATAAGCATGGGATTCTAGCCCCTGTAGACAAGTGTCATTTGTTGAGTTGGGCAGGACTAGTCATCTATAGTGACACTTTATACCAGTGAGAAGCACATTTTGACCACATCAGATTATCGCTCTTTCTTCAGTTTATGTTTGGAAGTTGTCCTAAAAGCTTTTGATTTAGTCCCAGGGAATTTTAGACTTCTTATTTTCTTTCCTGTATTTCTTTGTTCCCCCCTCCCTCCCATTTATTAGTAGAGGTAGGACAGACTTTAGGGAGAAATAATTTGGAGTTTAAGGTATGAAAGAAAAGGAAAGTAGTAGCATTTGTACTTTGAATTGGTTTTCAAGGTGGAGTAGGTGTCCTTTGGCTTCTTTTTCAGTTTCTAGATAATTGTCATTTCCACTCACAAAAAGTAACCAGCACTGACACTGGCCACTAGACTATGCCGTTCCTTCATCATCCACCTGTGTGTAGTCCTTCTCCACTTCACTTATTCTTAGGGGTTTCATCTCCTGGTTCACTGTTTTTCTCCACTTCTGCCATTATCATTTGTAACCTCAATATCCATCCAATGTCCTAGTTTGCTTGCAACAATTCCAGAATTAATATATAGTTTAAATAATTATTTTCAATGCTCTTTTAACCTCACAATTATACTAGATATATCTTTTGATCACATCACACATGGGTGATCCTTCCAATAACCAGATGTCTTTATTGACTCACTTCCTATATCAGGTGCTAGCCAGTGACCCTCAATCTATGCTCCATTCATGTGGGGGGCGGGGGGGCGGGGCTGAGACACTTTCACAGGGTGTGTGAAACTATTTTCATAGTATTGCAAAAAAATTTTATTTTAACTCTCCCCCACTTCCGCCACCCCCCAATTCTCAGATTTTCCAGAAGCTAAGCACCGTATGTGATCCAGAAGCAGGTATGAAAGTCCAGGTGTAGTCTAACTGCCAAACATTTAAGATCATTTGTAAAAATGTAAAACGGTGACACTCTTTCACAACTGTTTTGCTTTTGAAAAATACAGTCATTTTTAACAGATAATAATGCTATGGCATATCATGCTATCATGGCTTTATTGGTGTCATTTTAAAAACAAACCTATAAATGAATATTTAAAAATCCTCAGTTCTGAGGTAGAATATATTAAATATTGGCTTCATGCATATAAAGCAAAAAGGTTTGTGAGCACTCAATAATTTTTAGGAGTACAAAGTGTTCCCAAAAGAGTTTTAGAGTTGCTGCCCTAGATTTATTAGCAATAATTTCAATGCCTCAATGATCTCAAATCCATGGGTCATATTCTTTGAGCATTGCTTCCTTCCCATATTCTTGCCAGGGAGGATGTCCACTCCAACAGTCTTTGGTGCCACTAGAATCTAAATCCTTTACAACAGTGTCTCCTGGGTTTCTCATGAGCCTCTTTTCTCTCTGTACTGAGTACCTGCAAACAACTCTCCTCACACTCTTTTCTTCTGTCATCTCATAATCAAACAACAACCATCTGGTCAATCCAGCTTCCCATTTCTTTCACACCCATATGGACACAGCTGAACAAAGCAGCGATGAACCAGGGGGTGGGAAGATGGGAAATAAGAGGGGCAGCAGAATGCCTTTTGAGAAAATTTAGGTCAATAAATGTGGAAAATTTAAAAAGAAGAACAAATTCTTTAAAAACATAACTTGCCAAAAATAGGCTTCAAATTAAATAGGCGAGCTAAACAAAATAAGCCTATCACCATCAAATTGTACACATAGTCAAAATGTTCACACATAGAAAACACAACAGTCAGCTGGTTTAAAAATGAGTTGTAACAAACATTCTAGTATTAGATCACTCCAATTTTACACAAACACTTCTACAGAATAGAAAAATAGAACATCTTCAACTTATTTTATGTGAAAGAAATGTTGATTTCAAAATTAGATCAGTACAGTATGAGAAAATTACAAAGGTTGATGTAAACATCTTCAATTGATTATTAACAAACTCAATCCAGCTACATACACAAATATAATGAATCACTCTCAGGCTGATTTTATCATAGCCAACCAAGTTTGATTTAATCTCAAAATAAAATATATTTTTTTCATATAATACAGATATTTTCACACTAACAGATATAGGCAAATAAACATACAACTATCACAATAAATGCATCAGAAGCACTGAATAAATCCTATTATACATTGATGATAAGAAGTCATTTACCAAAGCAGGACTAGAAAGGAGTACCACATCCAGATAAGGTGAGTCTATGAAATACACACCGCATCCATTGCTCAGTGGTGATATCTAGAAGCACTGCATTCACATAGGAACAGTATAAGAACACTCACTATCACCAATTCCTTTCAGTATTTTACAGGAGGTCCTAACAAATGCAGTAAGAACATTAAAAAGTTACGAGTAAGAGGAAGGAAATACCATAATTCTCATAAATTACAATTGCAAAACCATTTATTTCAAAAGAATTTACAAGTCAATTATTAAATTAGTAAGAAGAATTAATAAGGTCCCTGATATAATACAAATACACAAAAATCAATTCTTTTTCTATATATAATTGAACATATAATTAACAAATGTCATCTACTGTAATAACAATATAAAGTGCTCAGAGACATCTATCAAAGGATTAATAAGTATTATATAGGAGAGACATACCATGCTCATGAACAGAGATTAATTAATGTAAAGAGGTCAATTCTCTCAAAGTTGATTTAATGCATTTACAATGAACATGTACCTTGTTTGTAAGCTTTGAGAAACTGTGCAAACTAAGTCTAAAATGCACATGTAAGAACAAAGGCTTAAGAAAATCTAAGACATAATAAGGAAAAAGAAAATAAAAAGACTTGCCTTGCCAGATTTCAAGGCTAACAAAATGACTATAGTAATTAAGACAGTGTGGTATTGTCAGTGGCTTTATCAAATTTGCTAGTGGAATAAAGTAGAGAGCTCAGAAATAGACTCATACAAAATAGACAACCTGGTATGTTGTAGTGATAGCATTGAAAGGTAGTGGGAAAGAAAGGGGTTTCAATCTTTTCAGTCTAGGATAACAGGTTTATTCATAAGGAAAAAAAATTCAGAATCAACAGGACAATTAACATAAAGCAGATTAAATCCTGAAATATTAAAAGACAAAAATCTATGGCAGATAAGCTCTAAAATGACCCCCATTGTTACACCTGGTATTCGTGATCTTATGTAATCCCTTGGGTGTGAGGACCTGTGACTTGCTTCTAACCAACGCTGATTGGGTGTCACTTCCAATTGAGCTACATTGTTAGTAGTTAGTAGTTTCTCTACTGATTCGCTCCCATCCTGGCTTTCATGAAGTAAACTGTCATATGGAGAAGCCCATGTGGTCATGACTAAGGGTGGTCTTCAGCCAAAAGCTAGAAAAGAACTAAGGCTTTTAGTCCAAGAACCCACGAGGAACTGGATCTTGCCAATAACCACGGAGCTGGGAAGCAGATGCTTCTCCAGGTGAGTGTCAGATGAGATCCCAGTGCCAGCCAGCAGCCTGATGGCAGCCTTGTGAAAGACTGAACACATGGATTCCTACCCACAGGAACTCTGACATCATCAGTGTGTTGTTTTAAGCCATTAAGTTTGTGGTAATTTTGTTATACAGCAATAGACATCCAATAAAAGTATTAAAAGGTTTAGAGGAAAATAGAGGAGGGTATTTTTAGTGCCAAGACTCTGGAAAAGATTCTTTAATAAGACAAAAAACTATAAATAATAAAAGAAAACACTGACATATTTGCTTACATTCAAATCAAAGACACCTGTGTAGCAAAATAGATTGCACAAATCATAGTACAAAGATCATGAAAATAGAAGCAAAGAAGTTATTCATAGCACATATAACAAAAATTCTATTATTAATATATGAACTTCAATGAATTAATAAGAAAAAATGAACTCGAAAAATGGATAAAAGACATGAACATGGACTTCATTTACAAACTACAGATGGAAAACAATAAGGACGACTATACATGTGCATGTGCTCATGCTCAGGGGCCTATAGGCTATATGTCATTAATAGTCAGAAAGTGCAAATGAAAACAAAAATGTGATACCCAGACAGGAAAGTATTAAAAACTCTGAAACTGTCAAGTACAAGAGAACACTGGGAACAACAGAAACTTTCCTATGATGGCTGGAGTGTCAATTGGTACAGACAATCTGAGAAATAATACCTTGGCATTGTCTAGCATAGCCAAGGGTGAGCTTTCAGCCCTGGATACATATACTAGGGAGGAGGCTAGGGTGGGAGTGGGTGGGAAGGTTCCGGGTACAAACAAAAGACAGAACATTCTTATATATAGAACATACTTGAGAATTTTTTATACAATGTTGGAATTTGCAAAAATATTCTCCAAATCCATCAACAGGATAAAAGAAAGATAAAGTATGGAATATTCAAAAAGTGGCATATACATATAATGGAACACTACCATGTTGAAAATAAGTGGCCACCTACAAAATCAAGATGCATTAGACAAAATTTTGGGCAAAGCAAAGCAAGTTGCACAATAATATATGCAATATGTTACTGTTTACAAAAAGTTGCAAAACATGAAAAAATCTACAATATGTTGATAAGGAGAGAGACGTGTGTGGTGGAGCTATAAAGACAATCCAGGGAATGGTAAACAGAAAATGCAGGATAAACATTCACCTCTGGGGTAGTTGGTGGAAACAGGAGAATGTGATCATGGAAAGTCAAAATTAATTGTGCAGTTTCTCAGAGTAGATGACATGTGTTCTTGTGTTCATTTTAATATCTTTCAGATTTTTGATGTCTGGCACCAGATTATAGAATGTGTGAGTATATGAATTCTGATGCTAAGTCCCACCTCTGGCCACAGAAACTGATCAATATCACAGAGGAACCTATTTTGCATATCCATAATGCCTACGGTTTGATACACAGGTGCAGCAGAGCTGGCATACTCCAGGATCAACACAATAGTGTTTTCTAATTCACATACAGTGAACCATAGCAGGGTGTGGACAGCAATATCCAAAAAAACCCCAACCATAGCAAAGGAATCCCTGTCTCTCAAGAGTATGAGCCGCACTCTCACAGGTCTGTGGCACTTGGTCCCAATGCAGAGGTGTACTTTTCATTGGGAGGCTGAGTTTCTGGCTGGAGGCTCTGGGATTTGCTCCTGGGTCCTCACCTACAGCCATGGAAGACAGAAAGCATCCAAACGTACAAAGCACCAAGCAGAGGATAAGGTACTTTTAGTCCAACCCAAATTATATGTGTGAATGACATGTGAATTAACAGGAAAGCATTATTGTATATAGATTAATTTTTGAGATAATCCTTTGGTATGTATGGCATTAAAGTGAATAAGATGAAATACATTGAGTTATTCTTCCTGTCATTACCAGCAATAACCAGCATGAACTCCGCAGACCATGTGCTCTTCAGGACATTGGTATCAGTGATGGACCGAATTTCTTTGTAGTAAATGTGCTGGGGAAGTTGAGTGAGAGGCAATAGGAAGAGGGCAAGAGTCAGTGCTTCTGTTCTATTTGCATGTCTCTTTGGAAATCAATGGCAGGTGTCATTGCCAACTATAAAGTCAAAACCTAAATAAGAATAGGTGGTGATCTCTACCCAAATTTACCAAAAACTCCTTCTTTAAACTACTCTTCCCTCATAACCATAGTTTCAGAAACAAACCATGTCAACTACAGGACAGATAAGACTTTCTGATGCCTTTCATCCAGTGGTCATCTCTACCTGCCTGCCTCTCTTCTCCTTGATAAATTCTGAAGTCTCTAGAGATTGCCAAGTCCCTACAGAGTAGGGTCATAGTCAACCAATTTTTGTGTTCTTCCCTCATGCTAATCAATACCTGGACATAGCCAAAAAAGTATGGTAAACAATGAATTAATTGTAAATTCACTCAACATTATTTCACAAAGCATATTCCCCATAGAGATAATATGGATTTCAAATTCATCTGTAAATAAGTACCATAGAGAGTTCTTGTGAGGATTGTAATGAGATACATGAAAACTTATGGTTCAATTTGTAGCACATATTGAGATTAATTCATGATAGATGCTACATCCCTTAAAAAAAAAGTCTTCCCTGTGCCAACCTCATGCATCACTGACTTAGAATGTCTCAAGCAACCTGCAAGAACCTCTTTTTAGAGAGACCATACTGGAAGACCTTACCAGTGGCAGGAGGGACAGATGGAGAGCACAAATACATAGTATAGGGATGTTCTTGCCATTTAGTAAGTTGGGAAGATGTATGCAGAAGACTGTGCAAGTCAGAGACAGAACTTGGAATTAAATTAGAAGAGTAGAGGCAAGGCTTGCCCACCACTGAACGGTGCAAGTTTAGTGGCTGAAAGTGTAGGACTACATGTCAATATTCAACTGCATTTCCCATTGTCTGCTTTCTCAGCTCCATACAGAATCCTAACAGTTACCCAAGACCTAAAGAAGAGGGCTATTACAAATTATCCCAACCATGGCCAACTTGCTTTTAGCTTTTTATTTAGTAAGAGAGGAGTCTTGTTATACATGTAGTTCCAATGAACTAGTTTATGATCAAACATAGCAATTTTTTAAATCATTGTTAATATTTACTCATAGAAAATTGAATGTGATATTCTTTATATATCAGGACTGTCTGGGATCTATGATAATGCACCCCAAACTCTACTGATAAATGACATAAATTACAAGTGGCCAAAAGAGGGTAGCATGTCCACAGAAGAAACAAAACATACTTGGGTGTGTGGAGTAGTTCTTGAATATATTCACTGCGGGTGATGTGGCCAGTCCGCTTCCATGCCTGGGAGTTTGACATAACCATCCCATTCTTGCTAGGAATTTACTACTTATTCCTCTCTAAAAATGTCAATCAAATGTCCAATATATGGGGTCTAGGCCTAATATGTATGAATCTTTGTGTCATCTGCTTAAAACTTGTGCCTCTCCAGGTTTATATAAATTAAACTGCATTCATAGATTTATCTTCTTTTTCTCCTGAACAGATTCTCCCATTTCCTATCCTTCCTGGAATTTTTATTACAGTAAATTCAACTCTGGGTAGAGCACATTCCATCCAAAATGAGTAATTAACATTATTCCACTTTGGAAAAACAGATTATTATCACTATATTTACTTATGTTACTTGTGCCAGCAAAACACATTCTTTCAAAGTTTCAAGACTTAAATGCTCTTATTTTAATAAAGGCTTTTATCTCAACTGGGCTGAAGTTTGGGGAAGTTAATGAAGGGATCGAATTTACAGAGGATATTTTGTTTCTTTTGGAAGCGTCACAATAGTGATCATTGCTGCTTTATTTTTAAGATGATAAGATTAAGTGTAGAATCTGGTCTGGTCAAATTTTTTCCTAGGTAACATCCTAAGAGTGTAGGACCTGGGTGTTTGGGGAGGGTCAGTCACCTTAGGTATTGAGATGACAAGGCAGGGGTCCCCAAGCATGAACATATGCATGTATGTTCAGTGCCTCTCCACATAGAATATTCCTCACAGGAGCATCTGCAAATAGGTCTTCTCTTTCAGCAAACTTTCCCTTGGGGCAGGAGGGGGTGAGTACAGGGACAGGAAAATTCACCTTGACATTGCTGGGGGAGGAGGAGGTGCAAGTTAGGATACACTGTGAAGCTCATTTTATTAACCATGTCACTTTCATTAGCTATCAATAACATGTTCCCATATTCATTCACAGAACTACTCTTTTTCATTTCCCCCTTCTTTCTTCCACGTACTGAATGAACCTGGCTCTCTTCTGCCCATGGGCACATTTCTATAAAATTTTAAAAGGAAGACAGTGGTATAGCTTCCATTTTCTTATTTGTTACCTAGTCTAATTCTTACCTTGATCAGACCTGATATTACTGCCAACCCAAAGCCTTTTTATTGGATCTCATTTGAGATCCCACATCCTGGGAATTGAAAGCAAACACTGAGACTCTGACCAATTATGAAAATATTGTTAACATCTGTGTAGCAATTTTACATGCTTGTTGATAACCCTCAAATAGGAAGGTTATTGTCTTCCTTGGCAATAACAGTGTAGATTCAGGTCTTTAGCTGCCCTCTCAACCTATGTTAATATGACTTTCATTCATTTTGACATTGTAGAGAAAAAATCATGGGAGCTCCGGGAAGAAAATCGAGTATATAAGCAGAGTAGGAGTGGCCTGCATTCATTCACACTATATGGGGGGAAATGACAGCCAAGTGAGGTTTAGCTGGAATGGCACATATCCACAGCTTTATCACTCTGCAGGCACATTTTGTCACAATAACAAAGTACTGAGAAAGAACCACTTTTATCTAGGTCAGAATAACAGACGCCCAAGTGTTAGAGAGCTTGGGGGAAACGACAGTTTGCAACATCAGGAAGAAGACTGCAATCTGTACAGAGATTTCATCAAGTCTCCACACTGCCTAATAGTTTTCATCCAGTACATTGTAATTACTCCACTGGCTTCTACTGGCACAGCATTTGGATTTCAGCGTCTACCAAAAGAGAATGAACCGCATTCGATGACGACGACATTTCTAATAAGATGCAGATGGTAAAGGAAACAGATGCCTCTGACATCATCTCCCATTTGCCCACACTGGCAGTCTGTAAACTCATTCAAAGGATGCGAGACAAGTCAGGCAGTTTTCCAACTCTGCTTCTAGTCTAAAAAAAAAAACAACGCAGCCCGTGGTGGCTCAGCTTCCTTTGAGTCATACGGTGATAATTCCACAAAAAGAAGTTTCATTCTAAGTCTGTGTTAGGCTTTAATGCAAAATTAATCATCAGGGGGGGTAATCCTGGAAAATACAGGGAGTTTAGCCATCAGTAACTGCGACTGATTCTGCATGACAGTGACAAAAGGGACAGGATGGGAGTGGTGTGATGCTAGCAGCTGTGACTTCAAGGAGGCAATACAAAGAAAGGAGTTTTACACAGGCAAGCAGGTCCAAAATACTCCACCAGCCCTTGGCACCCAGATTATGCAAAGACTGATTCCATTACTTCAAAGGAGAAAACGTTAAGGAGGCTGTTTAGGTCAGTTTCTGACCTGCAAAAAACTATGTTCCTTCTGTATGTCCATCTGTATTTTATAGAAGGAACCCTATAGTTCAGACAGAAGTTTCCACCATTTCCCCAGTGATATCACTAAACATTATACACAGTAAAGGATTTATTTTCTAGTGCAGGATAAACATGTTAGAAGACCTTTTATAAAAAGCTAAGGAACCTCTGTAGTCCATCTTAAAAGCAAGAGATGCTTGGGTAAAACAGCCATTGAAGGCCTTGAGCAGTCTTTGAGGTTCCAGGACACATCAGCACAGTTGCAGATGAAGAGAGTTAAGACAAAAACTTTAAAAATCTTCCTGTATTTCCTGACCACAATAGAAATTCATCTGCACCTCTGTAGTGGAAGCACTTTAGCAGAAAACAATTCAGAAACCAAGGCAAGAAAGTAGTGACATAAAAATTAAATTGTGCTCCACCAAATATGGTGTCTATTTTTAAAACAATCTCTCTGTGCAAGTAATTAACTGAACACACACATTCTCTTCTCTCTCTCTCTCTCTCTCTCTCTCTCTCTCTCTCTCTCTCTCTCTCTCTCTCTCTCTCTCTCTCTCTCTCTCTCTCTCTCTCTCTCTCTCTCTCTCTCTCTCTCTCTCTCTCTCTCTCTCTCTCTCTCTCTCTCTCTCTCTCTCTCTCTCTCTCTCTCTCTCTCACACACACACACACACACACGCACACACTACAAGAATAAACAAACTCTTCTAATTCATGTCCACAAATTGGGTTGGAAAGTATTAGTGCAAATTTCTGCTGACCTGCAGCACTCAGTCCATAAACTTTGGATATCCTAGACGGTCCATCAGTGTCCAGCAGATGTTTTCAATCTGCTTAATTTTATCTCTAGGCAAGTTTTGTTTCCAAACATTAGTATTACTTGGTGATATTTCCCCTTCATAGGGAAGATTGAAAAGTTTCGTGGAAGTGGCAAACAATATTTGGTTTAAACTAGCAGGAGACAAAGGGATGCCAAGGAAGGCAAAAATCCTTTCAGTGGTTTTCTGGGGGAAATGCACAATATCTTCAAACTTGATCAGCTGGTAGCTGGTAGGTAGCAAATCTGCGTTTATTCTCAGGGCTGCTGCTGTGTGTGCCAACCACAAATGAGACAACAGGGAGACTGCGTTGGACTTGGGTTTTGCTAATTCTTTCCTTAATGATTCATACTCCAGAGCATAGCCCGAATTTAAGCTACATCTGCCTTTACCTCCCTCTACTTTAAACAGTTTAGCTAAGCGCTCTGGTATATTCTTCAGAGAGTAAAGACTTGGTTTGCTACTGTACAGCATTGAATAAATCCACGCCCGAGGGTCCCTTACTACATACAATGCCCTCAGCGAAGATCCCAAAACTTCCTGAAAAAAATGAAGCTTTAAGGTCCAGCTCCCACTGCTTAGACTGAGCACAGGCCGTGCGCTCGGGAAATAAACCAGGTGTCTCCTCAAAGCCCTAATGTATTCAGCATCTCTATCAAAGGCGCCTTTCATTCTACTTCTTTGTTCCGACAAAGACTCTCTCCTCTTCGATTTTCTTTTCTTGTCCTTATTCACTATAAAATATTGGGCCAGTTTACCCCTACTGGATTCATGCAGATGGATGTTTTGCAAATGCAGTTTTGTATCTTGGACTAAAGACTGCAGCCAGCCTCGGAGTAGACGGAAGTGCACACTGTGGATATCTGATGCCTTCCATTCGCAGGCGTCTACAAAGGAGTCAATTTCAAATTCCGTCTCAGGGATATCAATGTAGGCTGTGGGAACCCTGATGTAGAGAAAATCACTACTGTTGAAAAATAGTTGTTTGAGAATTTCAGCTCCTGAACCAGGAAGTGAGGTAATGACAACATCGGGACGATCAACGTGGTGCCCTTGGGAAGACACAGACTTCGTGCTGGCCTCCATCTCCGTCCTTGCCCATTTTGCACAGATGGGCTGAGTGCAAGTGCTCCACACATCCAGGAGCTCGATAAACCACAAGACAACAACAAGTATTAGGATCCATCGCATTAGCTTTCTAAAAGAAAGGTAAAACCGCCACTGAAAAGTTAAAATCAACAAGCTAATGCACAAAATCAACCCAATTGCTATATTAAATTTAAATCCAAAGGGGAAAATAACTTTATCCTGTCTTATGGGCCTTACTATTGCTTGAGAGCCCAAACCAAATCGGGTGATTTGGCCCTGATCAGCCACATTGGCAAAGCCACCAAATCCCAGGTAATTGAATCTTGTGTTCAGGTTGTAGTAGTCAGTTACAATGGAGACAACATGTTCAGTATTGTTGACGTTGAGAGAAATCTGAAGTCCAGAGTTGGAATTATCAGTAAATCTGCAGCTGGAAACATTGACATATGGCCCATGAAAGACATAGGCAATTCTTGTGATTGTGGATTCCATCTGAAACGTAACGTTAACAAACTGGGTCCACCGTTTCTTAAATTCAGCAGCTTGCTCTGCTTCCTGTATACTAGCAACGGGGCTATTGCCATGGTGATCAAACCAAAACATTTTGTAGTGTGCATCCCACACGTCCATCATGGCGCCATTATACTTGTTCATAAACCTATATGGGATGTACTTAAAATCAATATCCAGGTTATGAAAGAAGGCACTGACAGATTTTATTGGGGAATCATCTTGCTTCTCAATGTGATCGACAACCAGCAAAGTTTGAGAATTTAGGAGAAGCAAAGCACGATACACGCTTTTCAGCTTCATTGCAGAAGAGTAAGCAGACACTGCCTCCCCACTCACAAATATCATTTCCCCATGTTGAGAGGCAGTAATGATTTCCCCTGCTGCATCACCAACCTCCTCACTGGTCCACTTGAGCCACTGTGCACATTCTCCCAGTTGACCTTCCCAGGGCTTATTACACTGGCTCGTGGGTGATGGCGCAAACACCAATACGTTGTTAAGGTGGCTCAACTTGGGTCCATAGAGAGCTTCGGAAACAAATACTTGCCCATTGGGAGCAAAAGTAAATGAGTTCTGATCTGGATGCTCATGTCCTGGGTTAAAGCTTCTCCATCCGTCAATCCAAGAGTATGGCTGAAAGTGAACTATGTCATACACAGCTCGACCTCCTAGTTTCCCAGATTTAAAAGACACAAAGGTATTGGTCTGGGTATTTGGCAACCCAGCCCCATAAGTAACAACACCCCAGTTAGGGAATGTGTGCATTTTTGCAGTACCATATTCAGCAGGAGGCTGTGGGGTGAGCTGGGGATCATACCAGATGTATTCAGTGTGAAGAGTACTCCACCTCTGGGCAGTGGAGGGGACCATTGGTCCATCTTTAGGTCGGTGCCTTCTAATTTGCTGAGCTAACCAATTACCAGCTCCATTCTTTAAGATGAACTTATCCAAGAAAACCAACTGGCTCTCTGGACCATAAAACCAATTATAATTGGAATCTGCTATACCCACAGTTCTTTGGAAGCCCGGTAAAAGGGTGGCATAATAGAACCAAAAGTGCATTTTTAACCAGTTATTATCTAAGTTGTTGATGTTAAAATGGCGCTGGGCCAGAAAAACGTACTGTGTGACTGATTTAGCTGTGTAGCTCCCATACGCCACACCTTCATCCAAAGAACCATCGACAATATGATTCAACAGAAACATGGTCTTTTCCATCATATCTACTACAACTTGTTTCCATAAATTTACTTTAGATTCTCTTTCTACCCCGGTCACCAAGGCCCCGGTGAGCAGTGCTATCATGTTAGTAGCTTGGTGGTTATGAAGAAGTTGTTTGCCCCATGAGCGGACCTTGGAATATTCATACATTTCCTCGGTAATCACCCATATTTTCTCCAGGTATTTTTGTCTTCGATGATCATCTAGTAAGTTATATAAAAAGTCAAAGGCAGTGGCAAAGCCTGTTAAGGAATGGCCAACTGGGACCTCATCCCCTGGTGCATTCTCAACTAGCCAGTCTTTGTAGCCAACCATCCTGTCCATATATTCCAAGACAAATTCAAAGGCAACCTTGTCTTCTGGGCATAACAAACAGTACAGTGCTAAAGGAGGCAGATTGTTACCATAAATTTCATTCCACTTGGCAGCAAAATCAGCATGCTTCGGTGGAGGTAGGTAGTATGTTGGGTTGGACAGCATGACTGTCACTGCACTTCTGATAGCTCTAAAAAGATGCAAATGGCTTGTGCGAGACTTTTGTCTCATTGCTTGGATTTCTCCCGCATCGAAATATAAACTTGGATGAAGCATGCTTTTTTTCAGCTTTTGGTTGGATCTGAAATCTTGCACTTTCTGTGTCTTAAACTGATCTATATCATCTGCGAAAACTGCCCAGTCAGAGTAATTGCTTACAGATTCCTCAAAAGTTGAGAAAGCAAACATCACTAATGCTAAAAATAAGAAATGTCCTGTAAACATTAACGCCATGATCCATCAGGGAGTTCCTTTCCTTAGGCAATCATGTCAAACAGAGTGCTCAATGTGGTTCCCATCTGCTCAGTATAAAACACCCATTTAAGGCCTTGATAAAACAAAGACTATAAATCGCTTATGCTGTGAAATCCAGCTGATAGTTGGCTCCTTCAAAGCAAATACGATTGCCAAAAAGAGAAAACTTACACTGTATATCTGCGTCTCTAACACAGTTTTGCTTCCAATAAAACTTCAAGGAATGTTAAATCCTCTAGTTTTTCCATATCACAGAGCAAACAGTGATATATAGACTCAAACATACTATGACTTTAGGATTGACTTCCTTTGCATAAATTTAACATGAAGTGTCAAAACACACATTGTTTAAAAAGAAAAAGAAAAAGGAAGAAAAAAGCACTCCAAACTCCAAATGAAGTCATTCCTAGCATAGGAAACCATCGCCAGAAATAAAATCACCAAACGTGAGTGATGCCCTTGTGTGTGTGTCTACCCAAAGAAAGTGACGAAGTACTGAAATCCTTGGGGTGGACTCGGTTGTTTTTCTTCTCAACTTTTTACACTTCTGGCTTTGAGAATTTTTTCTTCTTCGTTTTTGGGTGAAAAACATCCTCAATAAGTGTCCAAAGTCCTACCTGGTTTTAAAAATCTCAAAATTCCTGCCCTCATTTCAAATCTGTCTTTTTCAGGCCTTCTTACTTATCAGCCTATTATGACCCAGAGGAAGCATTTTCATGTCTTCTTTTATCAGCTTCATCTGTACAGCTAGAAAAATCTAATCTCTTCAGCCACCTAGGTACATCTCTTCCAATCATGAAGTAACCACCAGCGGGGAAAGAAAACTCCCCTTTCACCAACAATGAAGGCTCTTTTCTGCTCCTTTTTCATGACATTCCTTTCTGGGAGGAAAAAAAAAACACAAAGAAATTCTCTGAGGCTACAGGTATGCTGGGAGTGGATATAAACTGATATCTCAATTCGTGTACTGGACAGAAATTTCGGAATCACAATAAATCTGTTACTAAATACAATCTAAGTTAATTCAATTGATTCTTTTTTATTACTATAATACTTTTAAATGCATGCATTAGGATAACAAAGAATAGTGGCAGATGACAAGCAGCTACAAGATATAACTTTGGCCGACGGTATTTATTTTAACTGTGGCTGGCTTTAGCCATTTAAAATGTTTTAAGGGGGTGAGGGGTAGTGAGGGGTAGAGGGGTTCTAGTGTATGGTGACTAAGGGAAGGAGATTTGACTTTGGGTGGTGGGCACACAGCCAATATACAAATGATGTATCATAGAATTGTACACTTGAAACCTATATAGTTTTATTAAGCAATGTCACCCCAATTGATTTAATTTAAAATGTAAAAGAAATACAATGTTTTTATTCAAATGCAGTTTACCCAGTGAGTCCTGCTATGATTCTTGTTGTTTCAGGCACAAAAAACTCAGCGATGCAAAGCAAAAGTTGCAAGGACCTTTTTAGATTCCGTCTGAGGGTTTAGCTTTCATGGGATCAGAAGGTGTCCCTGTCAGGGACCAGTCACTTCCCTCAAAGGAGAAATCATGACAATGTGTGGGAGCAGAGAAGGGCAGTTCCGCTCCCACCTCTCACCTGTAGCCTCGTTTTCCATCCTCATAAGGAACCAGCAGAGGGAGCTCGGACCCAGACTTAAGGAGTCCCTGCGAGTCTTCGGATGGGAAGAACCTACCCAAGTTTCAGTCCTGGACAAGTCTCCTCTCCGTGGGAAACGTTAACCCGAGGAGTTTTCCTGCTCGGCCCCGCCTGTTGCATTTTTTAAATACGCTTCCTACGAACGTGCCGCCCCATCCTGCGCTTCCCGCTCCCCGAACTCTGCCGGTGGTTTGGGGACAGAAGACCCCTGAATGGTCAAGTCCACTTACCTTCGCAGATCCGGACAAGGTCCTCCGGCGGCGCTGGGCCCCGATGCGGCGGAGGCGGGGAGTTGGAGAGAACTGCGGTGCGCAGGAGGCCTGGCCGTGCGGCTCCGCACAGGG